TATCTAGCAGAGTAAATTCCGTTGATAAATGAACAAATGGGTATACTGCTGAAGAAATATAATGCAATAATAATATTTGCAAAGTCTCAAAACTCAATTTCGGCAGGGTCCTGCTTTGATATATTTGGCCAGTATCATTAATTAATATATATGTGCTGTGTGTTATGAAGCTTGATTTCCTTAGATGAAATCGCTATTACATTTGATTTGTTTAATCTTAAGTAACGCTGTTGGTGGTCAGAGTTTTTTCTCTCTCTCAATTTCGTATCTTCTGTATTTATAAGTTTTTTTTGCACTGTCTCGCATACTATTTCATGCTTATTACACTCGGAAACCACTCAAGTCTGTATCACAGACCCCAAACTCATGCCTATGGAAACACCAACGGTGTTATTACAAGATAGAATGGGTTCCAGAAATGTGGAAATGCAACATTAGCCTCATGCCTCGCGTTGGTGATGCCGATGATTCAGAACGTAACAAGTGAAACGGGACGTGTGGTCATTTGAATAAAATTGAGGACCATGTCTTTTTTTTCATTGCTTTATTTTACAAATAAGCCATGAAATTACTAAATAATATACTTAATGCGTAATAGGGTTTTTTGGGTTAGATCGCGTAAATATGTGTAGTTAAACTCGCCACAACCCGACGCAGCTGATTAGTAAGGTTTGTCACGAAAACAAAACATGCCACTTCGTTACGAGTTACAGCACACCGGTGCGTTGGAGAGTAAACTCACAACATTTGCAATTCGGTTATGACATTTTGCCAGTAATTACAACTAGCATCGTCAGGATAATATTGGTCGGCGAAAGCCTACATGTTAAGCTAATATACTTTAGCTTGTAATGGTTTAACCGAGTTCAACTTGTCACAAACACTGTTTCACATTCTACATCTGTAACGGACACTACAACTTGGAATCTAAAAGCACTTATTTGCAAATATGTCAATTAATGTTGCCCTGACAACTACTCTCCCGCTACCATACTGCTAAGTAAATACTCCTGAACGTATATTGAAAGAAAGAGTTTCACGAATCATGTGTTTGCATGATATTTCCTAACATGCTTAATTCTCATCTGGCCATGGATGGTTAGGGAGAGCGTGGGGAAAAGAGTGGAGGGGACATAATTAGGGTGGCCGAGTTCGTGGAACCTCATGGCTCTTGAGGGGCACCACGGTGACTAGGGAGATGTTAACTCCCTCGCCTGGTATACAGGAGGTCATGTGTTTGATCCCGACCCTGACGCCTGCTGCTGTATATTTGAAGTCTGCATGGATTTTTCTCCGGACCCTCCTGTTCTTACCTCCACATTTAGAATCGACGTGCGTTTAGAGTATTTAGCTCTTCGAAATTTCCACGTGATAAGCCACTTCGTTGAGCTATCATTTGTGGCCAAGTCGCTTCTGAAAAAAGAGCTATATATATCTCAGTGGGCCTTACGTGGTGTAATAAAAAAAACCGTTTCGTTTTTAGTTTAGGTGTGGGCACACTGATCGGCACCGTGCCTTTTGATCCTAGAACGCCAGTGGGGCCACCGAACCCAGTTGTCAACGGCCCTGAAACACGTGGCATTAGACATTGCCAAGTTCCCCACGCAAATTGGCCCATTATCCTAAACACGCCTGTCCTACATCAAATGCCAATGAAGCTCAAACAGTGAGTTGCAGTTTCGCTTTCTCCGCAGTTTGCTTTACCAAGAAATGTTTGGCAGTAATTTCTTCCACACCGTTGGTCAAGCCGGCGGCAATGTGCAACTACGGCACTTGCGTGCACACGGTCCCAGCTCGGGTTTGTTTACAGCGAAGGGGTCCGAGGGGTGGACAAGGAGTCTTGGGAGCTGACGCTGGAGGTGGATAATCTAGACTGGATGGATTTGTGAAATGACGGGCGAAAGTGATTCGTTTGGAAATTATTAGTGCCATCGAAATGACATGTCTGGACACGACGCCCCAGCTATGGGATGTAAATATTACATGCGCTAAAGGAGATGTTTTGCAAATGCACAATTGTATTTCTGGTGCAAAACATCCGATTTCATTTTTCGCTCCTATAGAGCAGTGCAAATTGCTCGTACATTCAGCAATATGGAAACTTGATTTGCTGCCATACGATTGAATCATCATGAAAAAAGACTTATATTTTTTAAGACCGGCTGTTGCTATGTTGAGCAGAAGAGGGAAGTACGCAACGTAGTACGGTTAATGCGTTCAATTCGATGAGAAAAATTACCAACGTAGGAATTTCCCAAGGGGGCCCCCACGACCTCCGTGTGTGTCAATGCGAATGCCTGCGAGAGAAAAAAAAATCTAATTCTACCTTTGTTAATTAACTCAAGTGAATTAGTGTCGGACAATTGCTGCATTGTAACGCGTTCCCATGCCAACATTTCGAATGTTGAGATTTATTAACACTGGAAGAAATGTACGTTCGTCATTTAACACGTAATGAAAAAAAAACTCGTTGTTTTGGTGATAGTTTATGATAAAAGATGTTTTAATACCAAAGTGAGCATGAGTTATATTTTCCATATCATTTCGAGTTGGTCTTATATATTTGTGTTCCTTTGGGGCATTTTGAGTTTTTTTTCCTTTTGAATTCACAAGTAGAAATACAGTGTTGATTTTACGTGTATTCAGTACAAAGAGAAATCGAAATATTGTCCTGTATTGCAAAGAATGGTGAAGTATGGTTAAGCAACACCTGTGACTGACTTGGTTTGTGGAGGCCTTTATCCAGCAGTGGTTTGACAATAGATTAACATTATGACATATTGCATAAGTGATGCATATATTATCTTTTAATGTCCCGCAGACATTTCGTATATATAAAAAAACATTATTATGCTCTACTGCTGCAGAGCATTCTGGGAAATAACCAAACCTGTAAAGTGAATCCACGTAAAAAAATATTGTTATGTTATGATTCTGTTTTACAAACTGTAGGGATTGACCTTTGAATGTTTATTTATAATGAAGACAGTGCAAGTATAGTGGAGTAGAAGCTGCATATAAGCACTCCTGTTATAAGCACAGCTGCCACGGTTAATCCTGCGGGTATAATAACGGTATTAAGACGTTCCATCTGTTTCACTGGATATTAAAGGTCCCGTGACGTCATTCCCAAGTGTCGAAAAGTTGAAGTTTCTGATATGCCTTCTTATTCAAGGACACTTCAGATATAAACACACCTGACCTTGCTTGCAAAGGATGTGCTTATATTTACCATCTGCTACGTATTTTTGTATTTAAAATGCATACAGCACCATAAGCAGTTCATCAATGCATGGCACTACTTTCTCAGTGCTTGCATACATACACGGCAGCATTCATCTTTGTGACAGCGCCAGAACCGGCAAGTGAGCTATGCAGATCTTGCCCAATGTTTGTGTTTATTTTTACTTGACATCCTGGCTGACCCGGACTGTCATGCCTGCGATGTTTGCAGTTTAATTCCTACCCAAGCAACTTTGAGACGGCGGTGTTTTTTTCTTCTAATTATCAAGTCGGGTTGCTCTGTAGTGGTTGCCGAACGATTGGAAATCGCCGAGATGAATACGAGTACAGTCATATTTTTTAAAAATTTCTTGCTGTGGATTTCACACCTGATGATGATTGCTTGTGTCGCAGTCGAAACGCCGTGAGAATTTTTATTGTTTTTATATTTTTATAATTTTATTATTTCCCTTCAACGTGACTTTACCGAAAGAACCAAGAATATGAATCAGTCACGAAAGCTTTAAATCAAAAGAGTACAGTAATGTTAAACAATGCTCTTCATTTGCTCGAGAACTGCTCTGTAATGCCGAGAATGCTCTGTCGCAAGGGGTTCCTGTAATCGCATGTTTGGCAATTCCATTCGTGAGTGCGACGGCAATTCAATTTCACGAGCGTTTGGCTCATGGGAGGGAACCAGAGGACCTGAAGACATCCCATGTGTACGAGGGGCTAACACACATAATTCTGCACAGATGAATTCAATAATATTTTCCAGGCAATCTTCCGTCACAGCACCGGTCAAATTGGATCCCTTTGGAGGGTCAATTGACCCTATGGTTCCACCGCTGTTGATAAACTGAGTATCTCTTTGGGGGCAAATCAAGTGCCCATCCTCTTGAGAGGCTATCCCTCGCCGTAAGAATGTGGAGTTTCCATCAATGTCGGCAAATGTGAGCGCCACATGGCGCTCATTTGTGGCGCTTCCACGCGCCGTGTCAATCGTCAAATCTCTCGGGCAAGGGTTGGCAATATGCGGCTCTGAAGCCGCATCCGGCTCTTCAAGGGCCGCTTCGTGATGTTATTTATTATGAACCACTGTCTCGTATTCACGTGCATTGCGGCTCTTGAAATATTGCCGACCCCTGCTGTAGGGGGTGTGAATACTTCATGGCACGCTTGGCGATAATTTGTGTCTGGCTCCTGGCTCCGTCTGCCAGGGACGAGTGCCCCATGCCATTCCGCTTCCACAGACGTATCCTGTCATCAGCTGCGTCGCTATGGATACCCAGCATTGCCACGATATTAAGAATAACAAACACGCGAATACAGATAATAAAATAAAATAAACCCTCTGTGGTTATTTGTGCTTTTTCACTCCTCTTCTTTTCAGTTTTGTTTATTATTTTTATTCTTCTCTTGCTTCCATTCATTTGAGTCACAGTTGGCCACCCCTGTTCTAAGCATCGGTAACTAAAATATTATCCGTGTTCTTTTCTTGTGTATGATGGCGTTGCATTCAGGAGCTAAATGCCAATCTCGCGGTCTGCTGGTCACAATGAGAAGGCTTCAGGAGAGAGTTCGTGTAGATTTGCAATTTCTCCGTTGAAGAAGCGCAGACTCCAGTGGTTTTATGATATGGTCCATAGATTGGGTTAAACGGAGTTCACAAGGTGTAGTGATTTGACGGTCTCAGCCCGTCGACAACGACTGTGCAAAACAGTGCGATTGAAATTACCTTGCAATTGTTTTTGTTGTCGCGACGACGAAATCAGCAGTGATGCCAGGCTTCCCGAGGCATCGCGGGAAAACGCGTGGCAGGCGGACGGACGCGTCCCCGGCCAGGGCAGCATGGAAATGCGGCAACCGCGGGGCGTCTTCTCCGAGCCGCCGCCGTTCATAACCAACGGAAGCCGAGCGGACGTGGACGCCGCGCACCGCCTGGCGCGACGCCTCTTCTACCTCGACGGCTTCCGACGCTCCGACGTGGCACGCCACCTCGGCAAGAAGTACGTGCCGCCCGTCGCACCGCCGCCGCCGTTTGCTCGAGCGTTAGCTCTGTTACCTGCCCCGTCCGCCTTTCGGTTGGAAAGCGCTGGACGAGCGGGGCCAGGCTCTTCTTCACGCTCACCTGGCCCGTCGTTTCTTAATTTGCTTTATCGTCACGCACGCGCGACTTGCGAGCTGACCGCCCTGATCCCCTAAGCGTCGGTGCACCACTAGATCCCGGGGGTTCAAATCCAGGCAGCCGCGCATGGGCACCAGGGTCACGAGATGTTCACTACCTCGCCTGGTATACAGGAGTTCGTGGGTTTGATACCGACCCCTGATGCCTGTTTATTTGGACTTTACATGTCTATCTCCCTTTGGTGGCGTGGGTTTTTTTTCAGGTCCTCTGGTTTTTTCCCTCCACATTTTGAAACAGGCGTTTGGAGTATTTGGCTGCTATCAATTTCCACGTTACAAGCCACTTCGTTGAGCTATCATTGGTGGCCAGGTCGCTTCTGAGAAAGAGCCGTATAACTCAGTGGACCATACCTAGTCAAATAAAGATAGTTTCAAATTGATAGTTTATTAAAACCAAATCCTACGTAGAAACGCAAACGTTGTGGTTTCTGTCTCCCAGCGGAGCCACTGGGCTAGTTTCTAATTTTAATTCTCCCCGCCCTCTGTCCACCCAGCAGACTAAAACGTCCTAAAGTCATTTTGCCCCTGCCGCTTGTAAAATAGTGTTGCCATGGCAGGATGGACAGGTGGTGAAGCAGTCTGTGTACTTTTGCTCCTTAGCATGCACAGAGGTGGAGACATGACCAGAGGAATAACTAGGTGGCAGCAAGACTACGCAAGCTTATTTTATAATTTGCCATTGACAACACAAGTAAGCAATTAAAACATCTGATAATGCCCTTTATTTGCTCAAGAAAGCCTCACTGAGCCTCATGAAAGGAATCCCACGTACCCGTATAAAACCCCACGCACACAAAGCGATAACACACACAGCTGCTTATGGTTAAGATTCAATCATCCATGTCCATTCAGCTATCTGGCTGCTTCACAGCCCAATTCTACAACAACTGATATTCGCAGGACGTCTCCAATCAAAGTACGAACAAGGCTGAACTCTACTTAGCATGTGAGGTCTACAAAATTTGATACATTAAGCTTGATTTGGCCAACGGTGATGATGTATTATTCGTATTCGTGGTATTAAAATGATTTGTCGTTCTCTCCCTGATGCCCTCCCTCTGCTGTCCGCACGAACCACAGCAATGAGTTCAGTCGGATGGTGGCCGAGGAATACCTACGCTTCTTCGACTTCTCCGGGAAGACGCTGGACCACGCACTCAGGTGAGGGCAGCATGGTGGGTGGAAGTTGGGGGGGATCCCAGGGGTGGACCCCATGAGGGACCCCATGAGGTCGCCGGAGGCGCCGGGGCATTCTGCTATTGCGAGACATCGCTCTCTGACGTGTTCTTCGGGTCGTTGCTTTGTTGGCCGGCACGGTGTCCGACGTTTCGCTCCACGTGCCGGGAGCTTCTTTAAGTAACTGATGTTTGGAATCACGCGAGAGAGATGTATTTTGGGCATGTTATGAGGACCTCTGGACTTGAGGAATCGGTCTTCTTCTTGGTTCTTTTGGTAAAGTCATGTAGAAGGGAAGTAATAAAATAATAAAAATAAAACATAATACAATAATTCTCACGACGTTTCGGCCACAACGCAAGCAGCCGTCCTCAGGTGAAACCAGGTCTGTTGAGGCGACAGCATCTGAATGAAACAGCACACGTGCTTGGAGCATATATATAAGCTGGGTTGGAAGGGGGGGGGGGGGGGGGAAGGCGGCGCCTTGACAAAAGAATTTGCATATCAAGAGGAATTTAGCATATTTACGGGAAATGCAGGTATGTGATTAGTGCTACTTTGCCCGTGCATGATGCATGATTAGCAGCATCACAAGGAGGGGATAGGGGTAGCATTAATAAAGGGAAGAAGTGTTAATAGTATGCTTGGGAATGGAGAAGGTAGCAGGGGCAGAGGTCTACCTCTGAGGAGGTGGATGGACGACATCAAGAACACCGTTGGCCTTGCGCTAATCCCGTTGCGAGAGGCAGCGAGAGACAGGTGTGGATGGCGGAGTCTGGTCTTGGATGTCACCAGAGGTCGTACTGACGGCACAAGGTGACGAGGCGAGAGAGATGTATGGCACAACCCACGGAAATCCACGCAAGTCGTAGAACGGGGCATGTCCGCGATCGGATGGCAGTGACTGAATAATTTACAGAAGCAGAATATTTATACTGAAGGAATCTGATGACCTATAAAGCTGTTTTTACTACTTTGGTTTGTGGTTTATTGGACAATATGGATTTACCAAGCACTTGCTCCTTCTTAACATAGTAAACAATAATTACTACTAATTATTTACAACCTTTTGCCAATGAACTGTTGGATGAAGGCCTCCTCACACCTGTGTTCGGTCATGGGGGTAGTTTCACCGTACTCTGCCACGCTGCTCATCGTAAGTTGGTGAAGGGTGGCCCAGGACTGGATTGGATATCGCTCACCACTGATGTTAGTCGTGGCAGGTAATGGAATGGGTAGGAGCGGTGCAAATTATGCCTTGGTTCATGATTTGACATCAACATTCTTAAGCCCGTGTTGCGTGTGCGTCGAATTGCATGTGTTAATAATTAATGTGTTTCTCCGACTAGAATCGGTTGGCTACGTACGGTGCGAAAGAAGTTCAACGTACATACATATACGTTGTATGTAATGGGTTTACGTCACCCGTGCAGCCACTAGTAACCGCTGCCATTCCCCACAATGTTCGAAATTAAACGATTATTAAATTGAATCGCGACCCTGAATCGTGGCAAGTTAATCTAATCGCCAAGGGGTATAATCATTAAGTCTGCTTCTTTCCACACTGTGCGAGCTTTTATCACACGTTGTACTACATTGCTGTTATTACCCCAGCTCTCCCTTTACAATTAGACTTTTAGTTTCAACTGGCCATTGCATTGTTTTTAAATAGAGGGATTGATTGACGAATTGCTGTTTTGGTTACGCAACGCTGAGTTCACCAACAGCGAACAGCCGTTGGCACAAAGGGCAGTCGACTTTCTTGTTCCCAGGATCTCGTGTCTGCGCAAGGGTCCCGTAAAGGTATTGAGCGGAGATGGCCTTCAGTCGATGCCACCAAGTGGCCAATCGGGTATGCGTAACGATTGCACCGTTCGCACACCGGCAGATCGGTTGTAACTATTGCAATCCAAAAAAAAAAGTGTCAGTTTTGTTGCCAGATAGAAGGGTAAAAAAACTATTATCATATTTTTTACTGGCAAATGAGGTTCCAATGGTATTGCAATCCAGTCGCGGTTTTATTTAGCAATCGGATTATTTTTTCCCACGCGCCATTGCACGTGGATGTTGACACGGACACAGCGATGGCACGTCCGCCAGCTCGTTGCAGAGGTTTGCGGTTTGAATTAAGCGGCCGCCCTGGTTAATACTGCGGATATGTTAACAATAGCTTTGAGAGCTGAATGCAGCTTGGAGAGCTGAATGCAGCTTGGAGAGCTAAATGGAGTTCAGTAGAACTCACCAACAAACACCTTGTGAAATATCCAACGCAGAAGATCCCTGGATTTGATCTTCCACGAAGCCCATGGTCCACCCTAAACCGCATCCCTTTTTCACACCATGGCGGATGCGGATGCCTGATGGACAAATGGAAATTAAAAAAATACTCTCCAGTCGTGAGCGACTGTGGTCATCCAGAACAGGCACCCTACAACGAATAACGACGCAATGTCCGATCCACAATTACGAAGGAGACATCACGGAGATGATGATACAACTACTCCGCTGCTCCTCACGCGGTTATCTGGGGTTGACCACCTGAATTTGAAATTGTAGTCGTTGCTCTGCATCTACGTCAGCAAGCCGTACGACAAGAAGAAGAATAAATGAAACCGTCGAAATACGCGTGGTCTGCTTCACAGCGGACATTGACAAACTCATGACGTAATTATTCTCGGCAAGCATCTCCCCTCCTGCGAAAACTTTGCAGGGGCCTCATGAATAAGTTAGGAGGCGTTATTGATGATTTTCTGGGTAAACAAGCGTAATAAGGAAGTGAAAAATTATATGAAAAGTTACTCTTGTATATAATCACGAATAAACACTTGCACCTATTTGGACAAAATTGCAATCAGTACTAACAATGTGCTGGTGATTTGATGAACTGTTAGTGCTGCAAGGTCTTAATTTAATAAAAACATTTCTTGATTATAGATGTTAAATATTTGTACACTTGTCAAAATTTACATCCTTAATCATTAGATGTTATTTCTCCTCACAGCATTTGTTAGGTGAAATATTTGAATCGCTCAAAATATATTTTATGTTTTCTAGTGGGTTCAGGGGTTATGTGAAGCTTTTACATGCAACAACAGACCTCATGTAAATCTTGACTTAGAGCTTTCGAGACTGTAGGAATTCATATTCTTTGCATCTATTCGGTAAAGTCACGTAGATAGAACAATTTAATGGAAAAGAGACCAGATTGCTCAATGTGACACTGTCTACAGGATAGCCATCCGTACGGATGCCTACCTAAAACCTGACTTCCACCACCATCCATCCCAGAAGAATTCCCTCATCAAAACTCTACACCATAGAGCTCGTTGTATTTCCGACCATCACCACCTAGCCAGTGAACTGCAGCACGTACACCAAGCCCTAAAGATGAATGGATATTCAGACTACACAATCCGTAAAGCTATTACCCCAACCGTTGGGAAAGAAACATCTGAGGACCCAATCAAAACCATCACCTTGCCATACATAGGGGTCACCAAAAATATTTCCAAAATCATGAGCAAACACAAGATCCAGGTTCCATTTAACACGGTACATAAAATGTGTGATCTGATCCCATCTGTGAAGGATGTGATCCCTGACATGCAATACCCTGGCGTCTACAAACTAAGCTGTGTCTGCGGCAGTAGTTACATTGGGGAAACTAAGCGACATGTCTCGGACCGTGTTTGTGAACGTAAGGCAGATCTGAAACACGGTAGGACCAATACCTCAGCCATGGCTGATCATTGTTTTAATGCGGTGGGCTCACACGAAATAGATTTTTGCCAAGACGAAGGTACTTTGCAAGCCCACTGGCTATCAGCAAAGATTCGTTCATGAAGCCATCCAGATATATAGACACAGACACAATTTCAATCATTGGAAGGAAGTTATTAACCAGTTTAAGTCCTAAATTGCTGTGATGTTTCCATCCTACCTTCCGATGTTCGGAGTTATTTTCGACTCTCTGATTTTACATTAACAGGTTCACACTAACACAGCCACCGTTTACATTGACATGCTAATCTCTTACATTGACATGCTAATCTCTCACTTTAACATCAATAACCCTGCCCATTTCGTTTATGACCCTTGGGTTACACCAATTTCAAACCTTTAAAACAGCCTGCTTCAGCAGCATCCCCCCTCTTTCTTCTCCTGATGACGATTGCTTCTGTTGCGATCGAAACGTCGTGATTTTTTAAATTATTTATTCACTTTATTTATATTTTATTTATTTTATTGTTCTATCTACGTGACTTTACCAAAAGACCCAAAGAATATAGACCTCATGTACACTGGATTCTATGCATCTATCATGAGATTAACAATCCGATATGAGTCGATTTTACTCTTTGCGTATTGCAATACGTTCAGGACTGCTAGCCATGACGAGAGGGCTTCAGGAGAGAATTGGTGCAGTTTTGCTATTCCTCCGTTGAAAGGGGGAATGCTTTAACTTTTTCTTATTTTAAACTGTGGATAGTATGCAAAAATATATTTGTTTTCATTGTTTAGAATTTTTGAATGTTGTGTTGAGTATTCATTAGCGTGATGGTGGTGCTTTGAGTGGCATATTTGTGCCGTAACGGCGTCACGTATGTGTGTGTGTGTGTAAACAAAAATTAAATTCACTTGACCCCAGTGGTTTACAGGTATAGATGTCAGCCGACGAATCGACGCATTGCTGCAGCGCTGACGGTGGTTATGACAAACGGTGCTAGCCAATGGAAAAACAAAAAGTTGAAACCCCGCAATGGAAGCGCGCTCAACTGCGAGCAGGGAGGCCGTCAACTCGTTGATGAACTTTAATCTGTTTTATCGTTCCCTCAGTGTGTGCGTGGGAACAAGGTGTGCAAATTGGCTTTATCTTATCAGGGGGAGCAATGGGTGGTTGGGGTTGGGGGTATAAGTTTCACCTGAGCTTAGTTCAGCTGTATTGACAGTGCAGCCTGTAATCTGCGTAAAAGTTGCGAATCTAA